ATAGCATGCTACGTGAGAGGCCACGATTCCAGCTTTCCTCTGTTGTGCTCCAGCAATAGCCTCCTTGTAGGCTATTGCACCATCAAGCACCTTGAAGACACCTCTTGCTGCATCACACACGCTCTCGCATCCTCCGTTCTCCACCTCCAAATCTCGTTGCGTGAGGCATCTCAAACTTGACCATTCCATTCTGCTTGTCCGAATGAACGTGTAAGAGAGACGCATCCCATTGTCATTGTGCGGACTTTTGAGTCGACTCAAGAGTCAGCTCGTGTAAGAGACTCATCCCACTGTCATTCTGCATCTCATAACCACATTGTGTAAGAGACATCAGCAGTCTGAAAATGGAAACGTATCCTCCTGTTCTGTATCCCCAACCCAACCACACGCTGCAGTTGGGGCGGCTGGGAGGGGGAGGCAGTGACTACGCAGCCTTTCTGCAGCACCTTGGGATTGCCGCAGCAGACACTCACTTTGGAGGATGTGAGTTTCTAAGAGGGTCGTGTGACTATAGAAGGCGGTGGTGGTGAGAGCGAGCTTACAAGGGGTGGCATGCTGTTAGCTTGTAGGTAGGTGGTGTTAGTGAGCTTATAAGAGGGTAGCTTCTGAGACTACCCTAATCCGTGTCATCGTAGCTTCTGAGCTCGTGAGCTTAAAAGTCCTCGCCCATTTCCCTTCCTCCCCTCCCCTTTCCCCTCCTTTCCACCCTCTCTCCTGCTGCACCAGCCTACCCCATGTACCACACCACAGTGTGTATGTCTGTCAACTACCATTGGATGGCTTATGAGCCGCCTCAAAACGCTCTTCTGTTCCCCCCTCCCGCCCACCTTTCCCCTCCTTTCCACCCTCTCGACAATCAGCCTACCCCATGTCTCGCAGTGTATACGACAACTGCCATTGGATGGCTTTCGAGGCACCTCAGAAGTCATCTTATCCTTCCCCCCCTACCTTCCCCTTTCCTCTCTCCCTCTCATTGCACCCAGCCTACACCATGTACCACAGCGTGCAAGACAACAAGCAACCACTAGATCGCAGTGGGGCGCTTCAAACGTCACCTCCACCCCCTCTCCCTTTCTCCCTCTCATTGCATCAAGCCCACACCATGTACCACAGCGTGTACGACAACAAGCAACCACTAGATAGCTAGCTGTTGGGCGCTTCAACAGTCCCCCCCACCCCCTCTCCGGCTCTCCCTTTCCTCCCTCCTTCTGTACCAGCACACCCCATGTACCACAGTGTGTACGACAAGATGACTTTTGAGTCGACAAAGTCACCTTGTACCAGCCCACCCTGTGTACCACAGTGTGTACGACAACTATCATTGGATGGCCACTGTGCTCCTATTTTCCTTCTCTCGCTGTGCCAGCCCACCCCATGTACCACAGTGTGTACGACAACTATCATTGGATGTCCAATGAGGCACCTCAGAACTCCTCTCCGTTCCCCGCTCCCTCCCCCACTTCCCCCCATCCCCATTTTCCCTCTCTCTCATAGCGCCCAGCCTACCCCATGTATCACCACAGTGTGTATGATAACACACTGCCCTCCATGACAATAAACAACCACAAAATGGCTCCTGGGACTCCTCACATGTCGTCTCACTCTCACCCCTTCTTTCCCTCCCACTCCTACTTTCCTTCTCTCGCTGCATCAGCCTACCCCATGTACCACAGTGTGTACGACAACTACCACTGGATGGCCACCTTTGAGTAGCGTTGAATCGTCTCTCCCTCTCCTGCGCTTTTCCACTCCTGTACCCGCACTGCACCAGCCTACCCCATGTATCACAGTGTGTACGACAATTACCATTGGATGGCTTCCAAGTCGAAACTCCTTTCCTTCCCCCCTCCCTTCTCCATTCCCCTCTCTTGTGGTACCAGCCTACCACATGTACCACAGTGTGTACTACTTTTCCCCCCTCCCGCCCACCTTTCCCCTCCTTTCCACCCTCTCTACAATCAGCCTACCCCATGTACCACAGTGTGTACGACAACTATCATTGGATGGCCACCTTTGGCGACCCACTCTTCAAGCGCCACGTGGCAGTCGCCAAGATGATGGCTGGCGTGGCTGCCAGGCTGGCAGGCGACCACCGCCTGCCCTTCAACTACTCCGCCTACGCCGCCCACCTGGAGCATGACGTGGCAAGGCTGCAGGCTGACGTGGCAGCACAAGGCGCCCCGTCATCTCTCTCCGTGGCGCCTCTCTTTGCGTCTGTCTCTCGCCTCCTGACCGCCGCTCAAGGCCTTGAAGCGGAGATTCAGGTATGCATGTAGGCTGGTATTCGGGGATGCAAAGTGGTGGGGTGGGGTGCACAACGGTAGAGTGCATAGCTCCTGGTGCTGCTCTTTGCGTCGGTCCCTCGCGTCGTGGCCGCCGCTCAAGGCATTGAAGCGGAGATTCCTGCACTGGTATTCAGGAGTGCAGAGCGGTGGGTTGCACATCTCCCTGGAGCCGCTGTTTGCGTCCCACCCATCCCACATCCCACCCATCCTTCACCCCCACTCCCCACACCACCACAGCACATCGCATCGCAGGCAGCAGCGCGTGCAGGTGCATGCGGGGAAGGACATGTCCCATGGAGGCGCACCTGAGAAAGGTGCCAACTGCGTGCCATTCAACCCCATCCCACACCCCTCCCATCCTTGCCTCCCCCTCCCCCCCCTCTCTCCCACCACCACAGCACATCACAGCGAGCAGCAGCAGCGCGTGCAGGTGCACGAGGGGCAGGGGATGCCCCATGGAGGGCGGATCTGGGGAGGGTGCCAACTGCCCGTCGTCCAGTGCCTTTGACGCGGTGAACGAGCGGCTGTTTCTGGCGGAACGAGGGTTCTTGGACGGGCATGGCATCGGGCCGCACTACACGTGGTTCAAGCACCTGGTGGGTGGGAGAGTCATGATACGAGATACTGTAGGGGAGGGTGCATGTCGGTGGGTCTGCTACTCGTGTGTGGGTCAATCAAGGCCTTTAATGCGGTGAACGAGCGCCTGTTTCTGGCGGAGAGGGGGTTCCTGGTCGGGCACGGCATGGGTATAAGCACCTGGTGGGTGGAAAAGAAGCGTCATGGTGTGAGGTAGAGTGGGCATGGGTGCGTGTAGGTGGGTGGGTTTGCTTCAGTAAGACCATTCCTGGACGAGCATGGCATCGGGCCTCACTACACGTGGTTCAAGCACCTGGTGGGTGGGTGTAGGGGTGGGTGCATGCCGGTGTGTTTGCTGTGGTAAGATGGAGACCTCTCAACATGTGGTTCAAGTCAAGCACCTGGTGGGCGGGCCAGGAATGACGGTAGTCTGATGATATGAGAGGTGGGCAGCTGGCGTGACTTGCTGGTGGAATGTGGTGAAGCTTCTTTAGGGGCATGGCGTTGGGCCTTGCAACACCTTTTACTTTGAATAATAATTGTTCTATGGGGTAAGCAGTGTGGGGTGTAGATGGGGGTATGTTCTGCTGGCATGCGTCCGGGATTGAGTATTGTACACAGCGTATAATCTAGAGAATAAAAACTCCTCAATTCAGTTTCAATGCATCTCTCACAACACTCCTCTTTCACCAGCATTTCTCACGCGCCTCATAAGTAAACTCCTCCGTACCTAACAATCTTCTGCCTGCCAGGTGTACGGCCCTGAGAAGGATAACGACTATGCCACGTCACCATTCCCCGGGATCCGGGACACCATCGCTGACGTCATCAAGAGCACCTCCTCCAAGAAGGAAGCCATTGCTGAGGTTGGGACCAGTGGTGCTACTAAGGGGAGTGACAATAACGAGGATGGGGAGGAGTGGAGGGCAGTGCAGCATGAGATCTTCCGGGCGGCACGGGCGATTGAGAGGGCGGCAAAGATCCTCGAGGGGCAGCTGCTGTGAGCTGGTGTGCAGTGCGGTGCTGTGCGATGGCGGTGCTGTGAGATGGGATGGTGTGCTCTGGTTGGTGGCACGGCGTGCCGTGGACGGTGGATCGTGGTGTAGGGCACGTGCGCTCGCTGCTCACACGTGCGCTCGCTGCTCACACATGCTTGCTGCTCACACATACTTAGCCAGTGGTGGTGTCTGTCAGGCGATGGACTTTTGCGTGCTAGTTATAGAACGCCCTGTGCTCTGTGGTTGCAGGGCACTAAGATGCCGACAGTGAAACTGCTACAGGCACTGTCATGGATAGTGGTAGGTGATGGTGGGTGGTGGTGGGTGGTGGTGGGTGGTGGGTGAAAGTACGTGATGGTGGGGGATGGTGGGTGGGTGATGCAGTTTCTCACTGCTGCCCTTATGAACCAGCCTGTTACTGCGTAAGCGTGGCAAGAATTGGCTTTACGTGCTTCAGTTCTTCATTTCACAAACTACGTGTGCTCGACTGGGTTCGACGAGGAGAGGTTGATGCGATCATGGGATCATGGGATGAGAGCCACTTGGCATAGGTACGGTATGTGAGAGGCTGTGTTGGACTTGGACATCCTGGTAAGCACTGGACTGGGTACTGTATGCAAGAGCAAAGCAGACTCCCAACCGAAGCAACCTACGGCAAGTGAAAGGGGCTGTGCTGTCCATTAATCTCAAGTGTTCTGGTACTGCAACGCAGCGTCACCGAAGGCAGTGGACGGACTACAACATGCGCTGCAGTCACTGTTCCTCCATGAGCAACGTGGGGAAGAGCTTGGGTTGGGTTGGGTCCATCAGTGATAGACCGCAAGGGGTCCTTTTGCGGAGCAGTGGTCATGACTCATCAGGGATTTTTGCATTGCTGATTTGTGCAGAATTATGCATCCATAGTGTTCAGAAGAGCTCGAGTCCATAAGCAGCAGTCAAAAAAGCCATGCCATGTAGCCTGGGATCTATAACACGCAATCGAGATGTTCCAAAAACAAGCAAGCACTTCTCTCGACCGTGTCTGTCGTCCTTGAGCAGAGTCTGGAAGAGCTTGGCTCTGTCAAGGATGGCCGAGAGCCGAGGGGTCAATGAATCTACATTTGAAATGTCCCAAAACATGCAAACCCTGTTCCCTATCAGCTCACTCGTCCGTGAGCAGTGCCTGGAAGAGCTTGGTTCCCTCAGGGATGGCTGAGAGGTCCACGTACTCTAGGATCTCCGCCTTGCTCACCCACGCAAAATCTTTTATTGTCCCGGAAGCTGGTTGGAACTCCCCTCCGAGGACATGCGCTCGGAAAAAGAACGCCGTGGCTGCAGCCTGGTTGGAACGAAGAATATACGAGGGAGAAAGGGAAGGTGTGGGGGATGGGGGAAGGTGCGAGGGCGGAGAGACGAGCCCATGACTGAGAGAGATAGTGTATGGCATAGTGTGACATGAGGTGTGTCACAAGGTGCTTTGCGAGAAGAATGGGTGCAAAACAAGGATGGCACAGGAAGGTCGATGCGAGTATCAGGATGTACAACCTTTCATACTCGTTACAGTCACACGCAGCAGCAACGGGTACAATAAAGGAGGGCCACAGGCACATGGCACATTGCCAATGAGGCACCCAAACAATGGATGCATGTAGTGCACGTCTGCACCTCTCATGCCGCAACACAACAAACAGCAACAGGGATTACTATGGGAGCTTGGCCGTAGGGAGGAAGGATTGCCAACAAAGAAGAGGTCGGGCGAGGAGCAGAGGGAATGAATGAGTGCAGTGCCATGGGGGACAAAGGGAGGTGCATCCATACACCTCCCATGTTGCAACACGTTACACAAACACAACGAGGATTACCATGGGAGCGTGGGCGCAGGGAGCATTGCCGACAAAGTAGCGATCGAGGGAGGAGCCGAGGGATGCTGCTGCTGCCCTCTCAGCACACTGCAGGTGAACACCAGGCCAGGCGTGGGGCGGGGGGGAGGTGAGGTGGGGAGAGGAGGAAAGGAGGTGAGAAGAGGAGGGAAAAGCTTTCAGAAAGGGAATATAGATAGGGAAGAAACCGAGCCATGGAGAAGAAGAAAGAGAGCCGGGGCAGGGTTGGGAGGGATGGGGGGAAGAGGGATTCGAAGTTCGAACGGAGGCACATTTGGAAATTCTTGTACACGCAAAGAGGATTAGCGAGAAAGTAAATCAAGCATGCACGGCTGGAATAAACACTTGAAGCACACGTGGCTTGTAAAGCACACCTGGCGCATGGAGTCTTCGCCTTCATAAAGCTTCTCCGGGAAGTGCCACGTGTCGCTGCCTGATTGGCCGGCAAGCGAGGGCCCCTTGAGCAGCAGGTACAGGCGCTTGTCCAGTGCACGCTGCAGGGACCTGGTGGGGGTGGGTGGTGGAGAGGGGAGGCGGAAAGAAGGAAGGGGGAAGTTGGGGGAGTGGGGTGGTGGCAAGAGCAGGTGGGTACAGGCGCTTGTCCAGTGCGCGCTGCAGGGACCTGCGGGGGTGGGGAAGGGGAGCAGTGGGAGGAGTGGGAGGGCAGTGGGGGGAAGTGGGGGAACGTGCGGGGATGTGGGGCGACATGGGGGGAAATGGGGGGACGTGGAGGGAGGTGGAGGGAAGTGGGAAGCCGTGGGAGATTCAGTAGAGCCTAGAAGGTGAGGAGGCTTGATCGTGCTTGCCACTGAAACCGTCTGTAAGAGATATTATTTACTTCACGCCTTCCCACCCACCTGACGTCATTGGCGTCGTCAGCAGCGGTTCGTCTGGAAGGCGCGTCAAACGGCGCGTCTAAGACGGCCGCCCAGTACTCGTCCTCCTCCTCGCCCTCGCCCTCCGCGCCTGTTGCGCGCGCGGCGGAAGGGCGTGCGCGCGGAGGGGAGGAGGGTGTACGCGCAGAGGAGAGGGGGTGGGGGGGTGTGCGCGTGGAAGGGGGGGGGATGGGTGTGGGCGCGGAGGAGAGGGGGGTGTGCGCGCGGAGGGGAGGCGGGGGAAGGTGGGGGAGAAGGGGACGGAATATGGCGTTTGACGACTGAACAGGAAAAAAGCTGCCAACGGCGACAGCATGAGATTGAGTGAAAAAATCGGGATAAGGACGGATGGGGAAACGAAGGGTGGACGGGCCAGAGGATCTTCCGTTGGGAGAGAGAAGAATCACGGAACCGACACGTGGCTCACCTGCATTGGTCGAAGAGGCCGCGTCCATAAAATCTTTAGGATACTGCTTGCGGTATTGCTGCTTCCGCTCGAAACTGTCACAAATGCAGAAGGAGGAAAATGGTGCTCGTTATTCTCACACCCGGCATGCTAGCAAACCGATTAAGGCCTTGACGAAACCAATAAACCTGAAGCGTGAAAGCGGCTACTACGATCACGAGCCTAAAGGCTCGAGAGATTCCCAGGGCGCCTCGATACACGAACCTAAACGTCTCGTATTTGAGAGCCCATTCGGGAGGCTTCGGGATGACGACAGGCAGCCGCTCGACCAATAGCGACGCGATTAGCTGCTGACCCGCCGAGCCGCTATCTACGCTGCTCTCTGCGCTGAATAATCTTGCAGCAACAGCGGTACGAGCTGGCACACTTTGATTGGCCATTGGGGATGGCACGATCCATGGCGATCTGCTCGCGGCTGACGTGGACAGGCAAGCGGGAATCGCGCCGGATGGTGCGGATCTGGCAGGACCGACGGAGGTGGCGAGGCGGCCTAAGTGAATGGCCTGAACTGCGGCTCGACGCATGGTACGCGGAAGGACAGAATTCCGTGGTTCACTAGGGCCGATCGCGCTGCGGGACTCGACGTATGCGGCGAAACGATCGAGGTGTAGTAGTCAGGCGACAGACAGGTTACAAGGAGCGAGAACCCGCAGCGCTCAGCGTAGGGAGCGAACAGCAGAAGTTCATGTCAATAATCAGGAGGTGAACAGGTACCATTCCTGCTTCTTGTTGAATTCGCGGATTTCAATGATCAGTAACCCTTTCTCGTTAACCCTGGACCCCTTCGTCGTTGCAATTTGTTCGCTGGGTGACGATTTCACGAATTTCTTCGATTCGTACAGTAACAATATTGCAAGCATGAAGCTCCTTTCTAGCCTCCCTGCTGCTTTGTTTGGTTGGGCCCCCTTTCGCTCATTTCCCGCATTCCCCTGACCAAACCACACGGCAATCTCGAGGCCTTCACCAAAATACTGCATTACCTTCGGTTCCTTGCTGTGAGAATTTGACAGCTCGCTCTCTTGAGACCGAACAATGCTGGTCAGCCTTCCGAGGCCCGCAATTAACGATGGCCCTTGCAAGAACCTTCCGGTGGTCCGGGCTGTATCAGAACCGCCTGAGCACTTGCATTCTCGCATAGCTGTCAAACCTCACATGGTGGTCCGCTCTCCCCTTTCCCACCAATTTACAAACATACTCAGGCAGCCTAGAATCTCCCATTCACGGAAACTCCATACGAACTATTCCCGGGCAGCGCTAGTAAGATCATTCACGCTCCAAGCCTCCCGAAACACGGGAAACGGTATCGCCGTCACATGCCGGACTTCATGGTCCAATACGCGCTATTTCCGCACGAAAGAAGGCTCGGCCGACCGAACCAGTGCATCAAGACACACTCGTTTCGCGGCTCTTCCGCAATTGTCAGTCTGGGGACGTGGACGCCAAACTGCTCGCATCACGGTCAGAGCAACCCACAGATCCACCGAGATTATGACCCATAACTGCCAGGCGGCAACAGAAACTAACGCCGAACCGAGAAATGCGGGAAGAACCCTACACGAGCAGCACCAATCGTTCATGGACATGTGGCAGCGCATCGGCGTGGAACCAGCGGAGCCTCTGGTGCGCCTGGGGGTGGAGCCGCGGGAGAGAGCAGAGTCAAGAATGGGTGCGGAGGAGGAGGAGGAAGAGGAGGAAGAGGAGGAGGAGGAAGAGGAGGAGGAGGAAGGAGAACGAGGCCTCTTTGTCCGCTCGCCCCAAACCGATCTCCCAGGTTCCCCCTCCGCTGGTCCCTCTGTTCCCCCTTCCGCGCCTTCCGCTCCCCCGTTTGCGCCCGCGCGTCCCCCCATCCCCGCCGGCACGCCTCTGCTGTCCGTGCCTCTGCGCGCCACGCTCTGGGTGCCTCTGCACGCCACGTCAGCAGGAGGGGGAGGGGGAGGAAGGGGGGGTGGAAGTCCAGTGCAGCGACTGGCGATTGCGCTGCTGCAGGCGGTGTGCGGGGGACGGGACGGTGGGTTGGGCGCAGGGGAGGGGGAGGGAGGGAGGGGAGTAGTGGGGATAGAGGCTGATGGGGAGAAACGGACTGAGGGAGAGGAGGGGACGGTTGGCAGCAGTGTGCATGAGCAGAAGGGGAAGCAGGCAGAGGAGGAGCAGAAGTGGGAGGAAGGGACAGCGGGCGGCATATGGCGGCAGTATGCAGAGGAGCTGCTGCCGAGAGAGATAGAGGCACGTGCTGCTGGTGTGATGCCATGGGTGGTGTGGTGAGGTATGGCATGGCATGGCGTGGCATAGTATGGTAGGTATGACATGGTATGGTATGTGGAGTGAGCGAAAATATCACACCATACCATGGCAGGGGGGTAATCAATACGAAATTATTCTCCCTTCCTTTCCCCACCCTTCCTTTCCCAAACCCACTTCCCCCTCACCCCTCCTGTTTGGCCTCTCTTCAGTTCAGACCCTAGCCGATTGGAGTGACGAGGAGCTAGAGCACCTGCAGTCGCCCCCAGCAGTAGCGGAGGTGCCAGCATACGCGGCAGAGATGGCAGCAATGGAAGCGGCAGTGGCAGCAGCCGTGCCAGGGGCGGGGAGGGAGAGAGCGCGGTGGGCTCTCCGTATTGTCACCTCACGGTCTTTCTCCATCTCCCATGCTGTTGACCCTGCTGGCGCTGCTGATTTTGCTGGTGCCGCTGACCGTTCCGGTGCTGCTGGTGCTGCTAGTGCTGCCGGTGCTGTTGGTGCGCCTGGTGCTGCCAAACCTGCCGATCCTGCTGAACCTGCCGAAGCTACTGGTGCTGCGGAATTCAGAGGATCCGCTGTGGACACACTGCTCAGGGATGGGGTGGGTGGTGGTGGACCGGTGGAGCAGTTGCCTTCTGCGTTTCAGGTGGGTACCTCCCTTGCCATCCACTGCACTGCTGTGTGAGGCTGATTGGAGATGGCATGCATGGGCATGCCAACCACGCCTTATCCTCGTTACAAGTCATCCCTATGCTACACCGTGTCATCTCCTTTCCTTAACCTCAGGTGGTGCCTCTAGTGGACATGGCCAACCACGCCTGCAGCGCTGCCACAGATTCACATTCTGCCGTGCAGCCGTCTTCACCGTCTTACACTCTGTCTCACACCCCTTGCTCCTCCATCCATGCCATTGCTCTCCCCTCATCCCGGCTGCTCCTCGCAACCACCTCAGGTGCTGGTGCCTTTGGTCGACATGGCCAACCACGCCTACAGCGCCGCCACAGATACGCATGCGGCTGTGCAGCCTTCTGCCACGTGGCGCATCAGGAGAGGGCGGACGCAGGTGGGCGTGGTGGGAGGACGGGACGCGAATAGGTAACAGTGGATCCGGAGACGATGAAGCGGCATTGATAAACATGGCAAGGTCAAGAAAATAATCGTGAATTCGCATCCCTTGCTGGTTGAGTCGAACCTAACCTTTGGCTAGTTCACACATTGAGCTGCTGGTAACGAGTTGCTGCTAACGGGCTGCTGATTTTCAATTTTTTTCAATAGACACTTACCCATCCCACCCATCCCACCACTAACCAGGACTCTGCATCCGCCCCTCTCCCTCCTCGCTTTGAGCTGCTGGCCGCACGCCCTTTATGCCCCGGCGCCCCAAGTCACCATCTCGTACGGCCCGTTTTTTGAAAGTTACCTTCGTCGTTTGAGTACCTTCCCAACCCTCCCATCCCACCAACCAGGGCCCTGCATCCAACCCTCCGCGCTTTGAGCTGCTGGCGTTATGCCCTCTGCGCCCCGGCCCCCAAGTGACCATCTCGTACAACCCCTTCACCTCCTTTGCCTTCCTATCTCTCCTTCCCTCCCATCCCACCAACCAGGGCCCTTCATCCCCACCTCTCCCTCCGCGCTTTGAGCTACTCGCATCTCGCCCTCTGCGCCCCGGCGCCCAAGTGACCATCTCCTACGGCCCCCTCACCTCACTAGCCTTCCTCCTCTCCTTCGGCTTCCTCCCGCGCAGCAACCCCGCCAACCGAATCACCATCTACTCCCACTCGGAGGTAATGTGTAGAGAATGAGGGAAAGAGTGTGAAAAGTAACGTGCAATTCAGTTTTGGAACCTCTTCTGGCTGGGAAAGCCCTGTAGTCCAATCTATCTGCCAACTCAAGCCCTGAATTTCCTATCCTTCCCTTCCCCTCTTCAATCCAAATCCGTCTGCGCACTAAACCAAGAGCCGTCGACCTTGATGAGTCAAGTCTATCTTCTTTTGAGACGTCTCACAAGTCGACCTTGATGAGTCAAGTCTATCTTCTTTTGAGACGTCTCACAAGTCGACCTTGATGAGTCAAGTCTATCTTCTAGTCTCACACCGAGTTATCTCACCCGAACTTGAGCATATCAGTTTCGAGATTCCACTGTCTAAAACTCAGTCTACCTCCACAACCCCCGTGATCTCTCACGGCTGTTTCTTGAAATGAAAATTCTCACAAGACAACCAGCTTGATTTCATTATGGCAACTCAATCCGTCTCCACACCTCCCATGCTCTCCCCCCACGGTGCAGCAAATGATGGACGATGTGGAGGAGAGGGTCACTCGCCTGCAGCACAAGAGGCACCTGCTCTCTCAGATGACCTCAGAGGACGCTCCTCTACTCGCCTACACCGGTAAACTCCTCTCGCCTACACCGGTAAACTCCCTCTCCTCTCGAAGCCTGCTGTCACAATGAGTCCATCTTTGAGTCGTCTCAAAACACCTGCTCTCACAGATGGCCTCAGAGGGCGCTCCTCTGCTCGCCTACACCGGTAAGCTCCTTCTCATGTTTCTCCCCTGTCACTTTAACGGCGCTGCCCACATGATGGACGAGTATTAGGCCCTTCTCATGCAGGACATGGGGAACGGCTGGTATTGGCCCTTCTCATATCTCCTCGCCTGCACTGGTATGCACCATCTATCTATCTCTGCACTTGCGAGTTATTATTTTTTTAGAATCGAAACCCGTCCCTGCACTTCCCTCTGCTGCTTACTATAATTCACTCACCGCCTCTTGCGCTTGTCACTTTCTCCCAGCCCCTTCCATCTTCTTCCATCCATCCATCATGCCTGCCCCACCCAGGCGGCCTAGCAGTGCGGCGGATGGAGTGTCTGCTTGTGCTGCATGCATCATCAGCGCATGAGCTCGTTCACCTCAACCACCACTCACCTGCCCCTCTATCACTCACACTCTCCGTGTCCCTTCCATTCTCCATCCTTCATGCCCCCCCAGGCGGCCTAGCAGTACGGCGGATGGAGTGTCTGCTTGTGCTGCATGCATCATCAAGGGACGACCTCACTCCTCTCAACCACCACTGGACTCACCTGCCCCACTCTCACTCACTTTCTCCCTGTCCTTTCCCCTCTCCATCGTTCATGCCCATCCAGGTGGCATAGCAACAAGGCTGATGGAGTGTCTGCTCGTGCTGCATGCATCATCAGCAGAAGAGCTCGCACATCTCGACCACCACTGGACCGCCTCTCGCTCTCTCACTGCTGCCAACGTCTCACCGCGCACACGCTCCGTGGCAGGTGTGTTACCTTGCGTTTACGCATGTGTTACCAACTCACTCATCTTGACCACCACTGGACCGCCTCTCGTTCCCTCGCTGCTGCCAACGTCTCCCCACGTACTCGATCCATGGCAGGTCTGTCACCTCGCCATGCCACTTCCCATATTCCCATGCCTCACCACTTCCCATATTCCCATGCCTCACCATGCTGCACCGTGCTGCACCGTGCTGCTGCGCCATTCTGCGTCGTGCCTCACTGTGCCACAACTTCCCTGTTCTCCTTGGAGTGCCCCCCAACAGCCAAGCAGCTGGTGGATCGCGGCAGGGCGCTCCTTGAGTCCATTATTGCAGCGCCTCACAAATTCCACCCCTCCTCCTCTCCTTGGAGTGCCCCCCAACAGCCAAGCAGCTGGTGGATCGCTGCACGGAGCTCCTGGACGACTACCCGACCACACTGCAAGCCGATGAGGCGCAGCTGGAGCAGCTCAAGCGGACCGCGGCGAGTGATGAGCGGAGCGAGGGAGGTGAGGGGGGTGGGGGTGGCGAGCATGAGCAGGAGGGGAAAACGCAGCAGCGCTTGCAGGCAGCAATTGAGTACCGAGTGGAGGAGAAACGGATCCTTGCAGATGTGATTGCTCGCTACGGACGGGTGGTGATGGTGTGAGGGTGGCATGCAAGTCATGACTTGTCGGACGCATTCACCTATGGTACACCTGATTGGCAAATGCATGTGGTGTTGTTTAATTTACTAGGAGTAGTAAAAAGTAGTGAGACTGCTTGATTGAACATTACCAAGACATACGGTAGTGTTGGAGTGTGAGTGAAGCCATGATGTCACTTCACCCAAGCTAGATTATGTCATTCTGGAATCTCAGCTTACAAGGCACTTGCCCTTCCAGAACTAGAGAGGAGCAGCCAAGCCCAAGAACATTCTGGTAAGGGCACATTTTCTACGAGTGGCTTCTCTTACGGTAATTGCAAATTTCACCAATCCGTGTGGCCACCTATCCAGCCTTGTGACAACGAGCACATGGCTGGTTTCAAACGCAAAATGTCAAATTTCAATTAATGTGATTCAACCTAACAATGCAATCGTAAATAAGTGCAAGTGTTCAAAATCCAGTCCCACTTCAGCTGGACAGAGTCGTGCTGGCAGCATGCACGGCTGCTAACTATGTGTGACTGAATCTGCAGCATACACATCAATAAGGCATACGGTAAAAGGCGTGGAATTAAGAAAATGATTGCAGCACAGCACACACCTCAGTAAGGCATAATAATGTGGCTGGCAGATCAGAGGAACATGATAAGCAGGAAAAACAGCCGATTGATCAAGCCACTCAGAGGGTACGATGTGCAGCTTTACCTGCAACTACCATCGATGCTACCGAGTTGGAAACCGTTGAGATGCACTTTATGCAAATCCTGCTGTTCAGATTGACCGTGTGTGTCTGCATGCGTGTATGTGCGTGTGTGTGTGTGCCTGCCTGCAAGTGCACTCGCACGCGTGTGTGTGCGCGCACGCGCATGCGCGTACGTGCGTGTGTGCGTGCGTGTGTTTTGGGTTGAAGCCCCATCACCGCAATCACTCTCAAGCCAAACCTCACCCGAGCCTGCGCTCACTGCACGCACGATCTGCCTCTTCTGCTGCATTGCACCAAGCAGCTGCCTGCATTCCTCGGAGGACATAACTACAGCTTGTTGACTCACAAAAACAAAGCCAGCAGCAGTGCATAGCTGCTTTAACAGAAGCATGCTCAAATGGAGAGTGGGGAACTTACTGTATTCGCATAACGTGGACATAGCGTTCCCCCTTTCTTAGGATGACTGAAGGGAACTTGGGCTCATTCACCTGCCACAGGGGCAATGAGCGTGGTTCATCTTTTGAGACGAAACAAAGAACGTGGGGCATGCATGGATTTGTGAATCCATTATAGAAGCGGGTGTGTCTACCATTTGAGTGACCATGCAGGCACAAAGAGATTAGGAAGGGGAGAGTGCAGCGGAACACAATTGAACAACGAAGGTGGGTGCACGTGATAAGGTGGGTGCACGTGATAAGGTGGGTGCATGTGATAAGGTGGGTGCATGTGATAAGGTGGGTGCATGTGATAAGGTGGGTGCATGTGATAAGGTGGGTGCATGTGATAAGATGGGTGCATGTGATAAGGTGGGTGCATGTGATAAGGTGGGTGCATGTGATAAGGTGGGTGCACGTGATAAGGTGGGTGCACGTGATAAGGTGGGTGCACGTGATAAGGTGGGTGCACGTGATAAGGTGGGTGCATGTGATAAGGTGGGTGCATGTGATAAGGTGGGTGCATGTGATAAGGTGGGTGCATGTGATAAGGTGGGTGCATGTGATAAGGTGGGTGCATGTGATAAGGTGGGTGCATGTGATAAGGTGGGTGCATGTGATAAGGTGGGTGCATGTGATAAGGTGGGTGCATGTGATAAGGTGGGTGCATGTGATAAGGTGGGTGCATGTGATAAGGTGGGTGCATGTGATAAGGTGGGTGTATGTGATAAGGTGGGTGCATGTGATAAGGTGGGTGCATGTGATAAGGTGGGTGCATGTGATAAGGTGGGTGCATGTGATAAGATGGGTGCATGTGATAAGGTGGGTGCATGTGATAAGGTGGGTGCACGTGATAAGGTGGGTGCACGTGGAAGGATGCTGACTGGCAAATGCAAGAGTGTATATGTCAGGAGTGTCAAGACTGGAACTCGATTTGAAGCAGGGATGCACGTGGAGAGGCGAGGCGTCAACATAGAACGTGTCCATATTCAGTGGCAGCAGCGGATGCAGTTACTGCTTATGTGCCCAGATTCAATGAACGTATGTACCGCGTTAGGGAAGCCCTGAAAAGGAACGCAAGGAGGAGACAGAATGGTAAGGGGTGGTAGAGATACGTTTAGAATGGTAAGGGTGTGTGAAGGAAGCAGCAGATAATGAGATACTGCGATGACGTGCTCGCAACATTGGACAGGATGGTAGGAGGACACGAGGTAAGAGATCATGGCATGGAGATGACATGAGTGTTTATCTTTTGAGACAAGAACTTTCTAAAGAGCTGACCTGTGTCTCAAGACAGAAGCCTGAATGCTGCTGATAAGCTGTGCCTCCCTTCCCTGTCACCAATGAGATTAAAGCCGTGCCATGCAACAACACATAATGCCATGCAATGTCAGTAAGGAAAATGGCTCAATTAACAAGTAATGAAGGTATACAATGCTCAGATGGATGAGCATGCTAACAATGGTCAGGGTTACAACTCGAATGCAGAAAATCGATGTCCCACCTTCAAACGAACCATCCAAGAAGTTGCCCGTGTAGAACTGCATGGCAGGAGCATCAGTGGACAGGGTCATAACGATGCCTGTCTCTGGGTGCCGCACTCGGGCAGCCAGAAACAATTTCTGCCCTGCCACCACTTCCCCTGCTGCTTCATGTCCGTTTGTCACCCCACTCTCCAATGCTCCTTCCGTTCCTTCTGTTCCTTCCGTTTTTTCTGTTCCTTCCGTTCCTGCCTCCTCCCCAGCCGCCAGTTGTTCCCCGCTCCACGTGTGTGTGCTGTGCAGCACGTAATTGTGATCATACCCGCCTGCCACGGCAGCCATGCGTGCACCAATGGGGAACTCCCGCGAGAGGAAGTCAAAGGGGGTACCTGCTACCTGTGATGTGATGGTGGTCGGAGTGGTTGAGTTGGGAAGAAAACAACGGAAGTTCAGTGAGACGGTGGAGAGGAAACGGAAGCGTCTCTTACCCCTCTCAAGGACATCAAAATCTTGAAGGTTTTTTTTTTTTTTTTTTTTTTTTTTTTTTTTTTTTTTTTTTTTTTTTTTTTTTTTTTTTTTTTTTTTTTTCCCCAAAAAATATACAAGACACACACTGGTGGTGGAGCGTGTCGAGTAATAATCTCCAAAGAATACTTCAATTCACTCTGGAGCTGGCAGCGAGTGATGGTGCCAGAGAAGGCGTACCGGCAAAATTTCGCCTGTGGGGATGTGGTTGGCATTGATTGGCGTGTAGTGGGAGGCGTTGACTCGCACAACGTGGTCATGCACTGTTCCACTGGCATGGCCGCCCAAATTCCAGTACCTGGCAGCATGGGAAAAGGGGTGTGGCCGTGTGGATGGTGAAGGGGAGGGGAATGTCCATGGCGAGATGGGAGCTGTGGGGTTGGCGAGATGGAGAGATTGCGAGTTGGGGAGGGGGGTGTGGCTCAGGGTTGTGGATGTGGCAAGGCTTAAGAGCTGATACAATATGGAGGGAAGAAGGATGAAAAAGGATTGGGAATATAGGCTTGGATAGGCTTGTGATGCGACACGGATCGCACACTCCCCCATGGACCACCAGCCTGTAGTTCACCCTACCAGTGCGTATCAATCCCCTCTATGCACCCACACACGCACATGTGATGTGCCATACTGACAGGCGTGTCCCGGTCAACAGCATGCGCCGCCATGACCACCACCATCTCCCCATCGCCCTCCAGCCTCCAACTCACCCTTCCAGTGCAAAACAATTCCTTCCATGCACCCACACACACACGCACATGTGATGTGCCATACTGACGGGAGTATCCCTGTCAACAGCATGTGCCGCCATGACCACAACCATCTCCCCATCGCCCACCAGCTCCCCCAACTCAACCTACCATGTGCGTATCAATCCCCCACATGCACCCACACACGCACATGTGATGTGCCATACTGACAGGAGTGTCCCTGTCAACAGCTTGTGCAGCCATCACCACCACCATCTCTCCATCTCCCAGCCTGTAGCTCACTCGCACCTCCACCCGCCCTGGGAACCCCTCCTCCCCGTCGCCACTCGTCAGCGCCAGATTCAGCTCCGTGCTGCTGCCTGGTGCTCCTCCCTCCTCCTCTGCTGCTGCTGCTGCTGCTGCTCCTGCTGATGATGATACAGCGGATCCTATTTTGTCGATTTCATCCTCGCCTACCACACGCCATATTCGCTTGTCAAATCCCACTTTGCCACCTGTCAGCAGAAATATGTTCAAGTTTGCCAAGAAGAACAAACGTGGCATCCCATTAGACTCGCTTCGGCCCAACCTTTCTTTGTGTATGTCAATACAGTCAAATCGCAGATAGTTTATGAATTATGCTCACACATCTATCCCTCCCTGGCTCTCATGCAAGCATGCATGCGCACACACACACCATGCCCCTCGCCCATCCCTCACCATGCAGTGTGTTGGGGCGAGGGCCATCGTTGGCCGTCAGATGGTGAATTTGACCGTCCAGATTGAACTTAGCTCCTGCAATGCGATTGGCCACTCGGCCAACCACACAGCCGAAGTACGGCGATGTGCCGTCCTGCACCATGACATACGCAGCATGAAGAAGTAAAAACAAAAGAAGTAGAATTCCTCCACCAAATAATTGCTGGTTATCATATTACTTCCTGAGAATGTTTGTTTCAAGATGAGGGAGAAGCTTAAGCAAGAGGATACTGGCACATGATGCTCACTTGTACCCCATATGGTAGCAAACACACTTGTTAACCGATAACATACCACTAGGTAGAACTTTAATAACCGTGTGCATGGCATATCGTTTTCATGACTGCCGCTGTTACTAGCATTGTCCTGCTACCGTTGATTGTACAGTGCAATGGATGTTTGTACGTGGTAAGGCTGCTATTAGCTGCTATTACCTGGTAAGAATGCTACTACGTGGTAAGGCTGCTATTACCTGGTAAGGCTGCTAGTACCTGGTAAGGCTGCTATTACCTGGTGTGGCTGCTATTACCTGGTAAGGCTGAGCGGTGTCAAAGCCGAGAACTATGTCATGCAGCTGACCTGAGGGAGGGTGGGAAAGGGAGAGAGAGGCCGATAGGAATGAGGGAATGTCAACGGTGCAGCGAAGGGAAAGGCAGAGAGAAGACGATAAACGGCAAGAGAGAGGGAGATTAACGATGAGGGAGAGTCAAGAAAACGAAGTCTAGGAACGGAGTGCGGGAACGATGCCAGAAGAACCTATACGAAGGTAAGGTGGGGAATTGGAAAACGTGGAGGGACGGAAAGGATATGAGACATAAGAGCGAACCGTGTTTGTGACAGTAATTGGGGCGACTCAAATTGAGAGATGGGAGCTAACCGCGTGCATCGGGAACCGTGAGGCTCGTGACAGTGGCGCCAAGGTTGGTGATGGTCGCCGTGAGGCCTCCTCGCTGCAGCTTGAAGAGCCTCACTTCGGGGTCCGGCGAAAATGCTGGCGACGAGATGTCCTCCACCATTGGCGAGCGCGCGAGTTTCAGAACGATGAACGCGACGAAGCTGATAGCCGTTTATTTTGGACCTTATGTGAAAAAATGACCAGAGATTTCAGAAAGTGGAAGGAAGGACGGAGGGAATAGGACATGGATTGGAGGTTGAGAGTGGATGGAATTCGGAACAGCCAAAACCAAGGTTGCCTTGGGGGACATTGTACGCGTTAGTGTTGAACAAGTTTTCCCAGCGAAGAAAAATCTGCTAGAATGGCAGTGTGCTCTGTCTTTGGACAAATACAGGATCTCTCGGTTAATAAAGAGTCAAGTTTGACTGAAAGGGAAGTGTGTTATAGAGCATCGCGTCACAATAACGATTCCCGCGCAAATACAACCCAAGAGCAAATCCCAAGGCATACTTCTGAACCGAGCAAATCCCATGATATTACCTAGATTACCACTGGACAGCAGCGAACAGACACGACTTTTCCACTACTCATCACTCATCATCTAGATCCCTGTCGAGTTGATCTGTTTTCTCGGGTGGTTTTCCGACCACTCCGAGTCTCTCGAGCAGACGAGGATCGCTGAGAATCGTCATGCGTCTCAAGCTGATACGACCCTGCCGCGTCCGTACAACCCGAACGACCAAGGGCTGCTGCCTGCGCGAACCAGTGGGCCGTTGTTTAGGAGGAACAAGTGATCTGCTCAATCTGAACCATTGAATGAAATCGGTGGTGTCAGGTCCAATACGGTTCCGATCCCGCATCGCCGGCATGCGTCTAACCAGTGAACTAACAGTTTTTGTCTGTATTCACAGCCACGCACCTATGGAAAACCGAAGGTGACCTTTGAGACGTCTCGAAAGGCATCTAGACGTCTCGATCGAAAACCGCAGTTCTGTCGATCATGACGGTCATGCATCTACCGAAGACCGCAGGTGGCTTCGCGCTTCCGCACTCGCCTCCCCGCCATTCTCGCCGCGCGTTGCTCCGCCATCGGCGCCAGCGATGCATGGTTCTGCTGGTGGTCGCGTGCGTGCTCGTCGTGATGCTGCTCTTCGTCTCGCTCCACCTGCCGTCAGTAGATTCGCTCCTGCCACGTGGCAAGCAGGTAATGGACACTATTATACGACAGAATCGTTGTCAGAAAGTATTCCAAGCTAATGCAATGAGCGATCGTCATGGCTTGTAGAGCGAATTCAGATTAAGCCGAGCTGGAATGGACGTATTTGAGACTAGTACGTTTTACCTAGGAGACTCTAGAACCCAGCGTGCGAAGGAGTCGATTCATTCAAGGCGTAACCCCTCTCGACGGAGTTGACTGAATTCGTTCACGTCTCCCTTCTCCGTCCCGCCGGATCGCATCGCAGGCTACTCCTTCGCCCGTGGCCCCTCAATCCGCACAGGAAGCTAACAGCGTCGCAAACAACGGCTCACAGGTACCGTTGCTACGATCCGTCTCCCTCCTGTCCGTCCGCTTTAAATCGTCCAAGCACTGCCGACACCCGCAATCCTGCATCCCATCCGTCTTCCTCTGCTCCCAACGCCCCGTTCCTGCCCTTCCGCTTCCCCTTTCCCCCTCCCCCCACACCCCTTACCCGTCCCCCTTCCCCTTCCCCTTTCCCTTTCTGCCAGCCATCCATCCGCGTGGCCCTCGCCTCTCTCCGCGCCGATCCGACGTGGCAGCAGCTGCTGGATCCCGACTCCGCGGTGCGCCAGCTCAGCGACCAGATCAGCCTGGGGAAGGCGTATCTGACGCGCGCGCGGGATGCGGGGGAGAGGGAGTTGGGCGACGAGATGGAGAGGGGCGTGCGGGCCGCAGAGGCGTTCCTCGCTCGCTCCATCGCTATCCCCAGGTGTGGCATAGTTGGCTTGTGAGACGTCTCAAAAGCCGCGCGCGGGATGCGGGGGAGAGGGAGTTCGGTGATGAGATGGAGAGGGGCGTGCGAGCCGCAGAGGCCTTCCTCGCTCGCTCCATCGCTATCCCCAGGTGCGGCATCGTTGGCTTGTTCCATGGCTATTTCCACCTGAGGTTGGTGGCCCATTTCAAAACCACCCCTAAGTTTGGCAGCGTTGTCTCTCTGCGTGTGAGGCGCATAGGCTTTCCTTGCTCGCTCTATTGCTATCTCCAGGTGCGGCTTCGTTGGGGTACTCTTCTTGTTCACTGCCCTCTTATCTATGATCGTTCTTCGTGTCTCAGTGCCAACTCTCCCCTGCTCCGTTCTACGTGCCCACCTCCCTATCCTCCTCAACCTCCATCCTCTTCCCGCCATCACAGTCAAGGAATCCACAAGGTGCAAGCGCATGCCACAAGCATGGTGCTTTGTGGAGAGTTGAGTCATGATAACACCTCTCCCTCTCTTGCCCTCCTCCTCCTCCTGCCACCAGCCAAGCAGTGTACAAGCAAGAGGCAAGAGCACATATTGCAAACATGAGCGCGCTCATTCTTCAGGCCAAGGAGATGCACTACGACATGTGAGTGTGACATGTGAGTGTGACATGTGAGTGTGACATGTGAGTGTGACATGTGAGTGGGCCAGCATGACATGTGAATGTGATGTGTGAGTGACATGTGAGTGTGGCACATGTGGCATGTGAGTGCAGCGGTATGGCATGTGAGTGCAGCGGTATGGCATGTGAGTGCAGCGGTATGCCATGCGAGTGCAGCGGTATGTCATGTGAGTGGGGCTGTGGATGTAATTTCCAGTTCTGAAAGGTCTGGAAACTCTTCATCGTAAGTTCCGGTATTGAGAAGTTTCAAAACTCAAGAGTGTAGTTCGCTGTTTAGAGATGTCTCAACACTCAACAGTCTAATCCACCCTGTCGCACTGTTCAGAGCGGCAGCAATGGCAGCGCTGAAGGAGAAAGTGGCCAAGGCAGAAGAGAAGGCCTCCAAGGCATCAGCTCAAGCCACTCTCGCCTCTCAGGTGCGCTCTGGTTACCCCTGGGTTGAAATCGATTCATTAATCGTCTCTATGGCTCTGCCCATATGACCTGCCTATTCTTGCTCCATGTCTTTGAAACACCATGTGTAAATCCACCACCCTTCTCCTCACCACCCTTCTCCTCACCACCCTTCTCCTCACTGCACTTCTCCTCACTGCACTTCTCCTCACTGCACTTCTCCTCACTGCACTTCTCCTCACTGCACTTCTCCATCCCCGCTCAAAGACGTGCCTGAAGCCGCGCCTATCTCTGAGGCACCTCTCGTCACGTCACCACCCTTTACCGCACTGCACCCCGCCATCCCGCCTCCAGGTGGTATCAGAGTCCATGCCCAAGCCCATGACGTGCCTCTACATGCGGCTGGCCAGAGAGTGGGCTCTGCTGCGCGCCTCTGCGGCCCATGACGTGCCTGTACCCGCGTCTATCTCTGAGGCACCTTTCACCACTATGCTTCACCGCACTGCACCCATCCATCCCCCCTCCAGGTGGTATCAGAGTCCATGCCCAAGCCCATGACGTGTCTCTACATGCGGCTGGCCAGGGAGTGGGCTCTAGAGAACTTCTCTGCAGCCCATGGCGGGATGGACGACGCCACTCACCCCTTCCAAATACACCACGGCCTGGTGCGTTGCACGTACTGCTCTGCTGCACCCTTGTAATGCCCGCAAAAAGATGGAGGAGGGCACTCACCCCTTCCAAATACACCACGGCCTGGTGCGTTGCACTCCACATACCTCTCTATTACACTTCGCAGTGCCACACCTAGAAGCGTCGCACCCAGCAGTGCTGCTGCACCTGGTAGTGAGCGAGCAGTGCATGCGTGAGCCCGTTATTCAGCAGCAACGTGCACACCATTCCGCCTTTCTCTCCTTGGCCCTTCTTCTAGTGTCCAGGTGCGCCCAACAAACACAACGTTCGAAATTCTCGCCTCTCGGAATTCTCAGAAACATCTCCCGCCTGGTGGACACCTCACTGAAGCACGTGTGCGTGTGTTCAGTGACATCGTGCTGACCGGATCTACTGCCCTCAAATTAAACCATCACTCACCCCTCTGCTCTTCTTTGTCTCCTTGGTCCTTCTCCCAGCCGCCAGTCTTCCCCAACAACTCTCACTTAATCGACACCTAGCTGCAGCACCTACCTGCTATGTGTGCTTCTGCGACCACAATCCTCGTGCTGGCCCCCTCTCTGCTGCTCTCTCAATAGCCATCTGCTCTGTTGTCTCGAAAAACAAAATCGTTTTGTTTCTTTTTGTCTCTGTGGTCTGCCATCGCCACCCCTGCCCTGCCACCACACACAGTCCCCAGGCACGCCCAACATCTCTCGTCTGGTGGACACCTCATTGCAGCACGCGTGCATCTTCAGTGACAACGTGCTGGCCGTGTCTGCTGCCCTCAACTCCTCTGTGCGCTCCCACCATCTGCGTTGCCCTCCTTTCTCCCAGCCACCAGGCACGCCCAACAACTCTCGCCTGCTCGACACCTCATTGCAGCACGCGTGCATCTTCAGTGACAACGTGCTGGCCGTGTCTGCTGCCCTCAACTCCTCTGTGCGCTCCCACCATCTGCGTTGCCCTCCTTTCTCCCAGCCACCAGGCACGCCCAACAACTCTCGCCTGCTCGACACCTCATTGCAGCACCCGTGCATCTTCAGTGACAACGTGCTGGCCGTGTCTGCTGCCCTCAACTCCTCTGTGCGCTCCCACCATCTGCGTTGCCCTCCTTTCTCCCAGCCACCAGGCACGCCCAACAACTCTCGCCTGCTCGACACCTCATTGCAGCGCGCGTGCATCTTCAGTGACAACGTGCTGGCCGTGTCTGCTGCCCTCAACTCCTCTGTGCGCTCCCACCATCTGCGTTGCCCTCCTTTCTCCCAGCCACCAGGCACGCCCAACAACTCTCGCCTGCTCGACACCTCATTGCAGCGCGCGTGCATCTTCAGTGACAACGTGCTGGCCGTGTCTGCTGCCCTCAACTCCTCTGTGCGCTCCCACCATCTGCGTTGCCCTCCTTTCTCCCAGCCACCAGGCACGCCCAACAACTCTCGCCTGCTCGACACCTCATTGCAGCACGCGTGCATCTTC